CAGGAGATTTTGGTTCAAGATTGTTCATCGTGCGCGGGGGAGTTGGGAAGCTCTCGCTGCTGCGATAATAGATCGTAAGCCGAATCAATACATTCATCGTAGAAGCGCATAGGTACGTGATATTTAGTGATCGGCTTCGCAGAGGTCATTTTAAGACCTGCAACTCGGTCCCGTCTTACTACATGACATGTGAGGCTCCATCCCACGCCAAAGTGATTCCTGTCGTGCTAGGTATGCAGCCCACTAAGACTTTTCCTCTGAGGATGACGATGCATGACCGAAATCAGACTTGGGAAAGGTTCTTCCCTCGCTGTGATCAATCATCCACTGTCGGAAGAGCTACTTCTTGCGGCCCTACATTGGTCAAGCTTGAAGCACTAGAAGCAGTACCCCTTTAACCAGCTTGAGCGAGCGTCAATCAACTTAAATGAAATGATACGCCTTTTTCTTTTTTGCCCCGCCTTTGCTACTGCTGATAAGTGGTGTCCAACTTAGAGTAGTCTTTTCTTTTTTCTCAATTCGTGAGACAGTCAGTAAATCCGCGCCACAAATGCTTCTGAGGGGCATTGCCGCTTTCTACTCATGGCGAAGTTGCCTCAGTTTATCCTCAGCCGTGGTGGAGTCGGCTTTGCATACAGCCAGCTCTGCATTCACCATTGTTGTGGAAGCAGGGTGTGGCGGCACAAGTAGCAGAAAAAAAGAGAAGCAAAAGATTTCCAGACTCCAGCGCTTGTCACACCTTCAGGTCACGTTCCTATTGCTGCCTCGTTGTGTGTCCCGTCTGCCCAAGATGATGTGTGTATGGACACGTATAATCTGCCACATTCTCATTGTGACTCCCTTGAGCTATTCTTGGCTTACTCTTGATTCATCTGTGCGCGCTGCTTGGTCAGACCTGGCGTGGGGGCTCAGAGGGTGGTAAAAGAGATGGGAACGCGCTCGCGATCCAGCTTTGATGAGCGCTCACTGCGCAGACTTAGCAAAAGCTGATGATGCGAGCCAGCCTCTACGTTTTATTGATAGTCGCCAACCGGAAGCAGTAGCCTGGTGCTACCCAGTCAACATCCGTTCCACCAAGTACACACGACAAAGTACTCTGATCATACCTCCTGCAAAATTTCTGGTCGCCTTTGAAGACGATACTATGACGCGTCTGTAAGTGAGATGGCTTTGCAAATGATCAAGATGTCGCGTTCTCAAACCAGTGTTCTCATCATGCAGGCGATACAAGACGCGTCGCAAACGCGAATCGAGCGAAAGCAAGGTTGGAGCTAGTCAATGAAAGTCAAGAGGTTCCACGGCTAGATAGCAATTTTCTTCTTTGCCGTCAATCACCAAGATTCTTTCGGAAGTTGTAGCTCTGTGTTAGGCATTGATGTTCTGCAAGCTTTTGCTTAGTACGCGTGTCAGCGAGGTTCAAAATGCAGGTCAATACGTTTTGATTCCTGCTCTATGAGCACTTGAAGACTCCGTCTGTGATGTGGACAAGAGCAATTTGCCCTCAGTCAGTCTCATAGGTCCACTCTGACGCTTCTGTAGGCGGCTGAGCTGCCCCCGAGCGGTATAGCCACAAGTCGAAATTTTCTTCATCTCCTTCGCCCAAGGGTGCGATGATCAGATGCAAGTGGCTACCATCCGAGGCGACCACAATGTGATTAGGCTGTAGTTGGAAATCCAAAAGTCCGACGTCTGACGACGGGAGCAGCTGCAATGCGTCGATCAGCACACCCACTCGCCCTCCGCACAGCGCGCGAATGGGATCGTCAATCCAAACGCTCCAAAGGAGCAGACGGGATACTGTGATATGAGAAGCCTTTGCGCTCAAGACGGGTGCTTCGGCCTCTTCGGCAAAGAACTGCAACACTGCGGACTTGACGACGCGCAATTTTTCCACTTTATCTTGCTCCTCGTGACAGATGGTTCGTTGGGTGTGCGAATCGAAGCGTCGCGTCCAAAAGGTCGTCAAAGCGCCACCTGGTTCGTGATGTGATGCAGTCGAGCTTTGGGGAAATAAGAATGCGGGCAAGCCGCATTCGCTTGGGCTTTCTTGTTGGAGCGTATCTCGAGAGGTGAGTTGATGGCCGCGTTCGAAGATGGCGCCTTGAGTCGCGAATGGGGAATCCTCGGGTGAGGTAGGCCCCACAGAGCCCACACCACCAAAGCTGACGGTGTAACCGTGCTCAGAGGCGACACCATTGCAGTACTGCTGAAATTCTTGTGATGTCCATCTGCAAGGGCGAGTGAGGGAATCGTGAGCAGAGCGCGCGGACGTTGCGGGCTGATTTCACCGCTGTACGCACTCGAATTTGTGATCGTCGTGTCGGAAGCGTCGGTCAGTTCGACCTGTAGGATCAGAAAAGCCTCCTGCTCCAAGCTCGGGGTGGAAATTGACGTTGAAATTGTAGTCTGGCGTGGTGATGATGAGCAACTTGGGCTTGTACATGCCCAATAGGATCGGTGCGAATTTGCTAATGTCTGCGAGATGCTCAATGCTGCGGCAGTGGACAGGTGGTTGAGATGGGCTGGCTGCGCTGGAGGGGAATGCAAAGGTGACAGACACACGCACACTTCTGTCGCGACGATGGCATCGCAGCCGACGAGTCTATGGTCCAGCGTGTCGAAGGAGGCGTGTAGCAGGTGAACAGTGAAGGGGATCCAACGAGGCATGGGACGATAGCCTTGCGCGGCGAGTATGGCTGTCCTTGCGGCTGCGAGAGCGCGCGCATCGATGTCGACGCCGATGAGCGAGGTCAAGCAGCTCAGGTCTGCATCCGAGTAGATCCAGTGGTGCGATGGCAGAGGACAAGCGCCACGAGTCAGGCTGGGGAATGGGTGCAGTGGAAAGACGTCTCGTTGCAGCGGTGGTCGGCAGAGAGCGGAGAGCAGGCTGCCTTCGCCGCAGCCGACATCGACGATCTGTGCGCGCGCGTGGTGAGCAGGGATGCTGGAGGGACAATGTGAATGACACAGGCGGACGTGCAGTGCAGTGCTCACCGAGCTTGGTTGGTGTTTGCGCAGCAGTTCAAGGATCCAAGCTTGTCGCTGCGGGTGCGGGTGCGGGTGCGGGTGCGGGTGCGGGTGCGGGTGCGGGTGAGCCTGGAGTGTCAGTGGCACAGCACCACGGCCATGCCCGCATGCCCGTATGCCCCCACACCACACACACCTGCAGCCACAAGGGCGGATCAAAGGTGACCATGACGATGACTGGCGGCGTGCGTGCGTGCGTGCGTGCGTGCGATGCGGTGCGGTGTAGTAGTGGCAGTTTCAAGCAGCGCAGTCGATGAGGAAGCGTGAAATGACGATGCCCGCAGGCTTCATGTGCGCTCAGTCACGCTCCTTGCGATATCGTGTGAGCAAGACATTTGTGAGGTGAGGTGAATGCATACATGGGTGTTCGTCGAGCTGAGCTGCGGCAATCTCGAAGCAATTCAAATCAAGACTCTACACTCGACTCACATTTTGCTAAAATGGGGTAATGTAATGTTGAATGGCGAGTATTGAATGAATGTGAATGCAAATGACTCGCGAATACAACGCTCGACATGCAGGCGCATTGATTGTGACTTGACAATAGTGGATCGCGAATCGTGAATCTTCTTGGCACCCACGAACCACATCTCTCCGCGCATCTTTCCTCTTCTTCGTCGTAAGTCAGCTCGCCCAGCGCCGCTGTGGCCATCATCCGCCACGTCTGCGATCTCCAATCGGGAATCAGTCAAGTCTAGAGTGAATCATGATCATCAGTCACGCAGTTGCATGAGCAACACGCGCGACGGACGACGGACGCCACGCCGCGGGCAAGCTCTAAATCACGTCACGTGTTGCATGCAGCCCTGCAGATCGCCTTGCCCGCCGCGGAACGGAACACCGCGGGTATGGAAGCATGCATCAGCTTTGATTGATTTAGCGCGTGTGAGAAGATCGGTGAGGGGAGGAGGCAAGAGGCAGCAAGGCGCGGCAGCATATGCAAATCACGTGAATGGATTGAGCATCGCGCATGGCCGCCATTCACGGTCCCCTTTGCCATGCCCCATCACCACATGCTCCCTCGGACTACACACGCACACGCATACACTCACACACACACACATACAGCCATCCACCACCACTCTCTAGCACATTCACATTCCCCTCTCCCCTCCTCGCCGTGCCCATCACAATGTCCGCCACTTCCCCTCGCGACAAGTTTCTCGCTCTCTTTCCCAAGCTCAGTCAGGAGCTGCTGGGCTATCTCCGCGCAGAATCCATGCCAGCCGAGGCAATCTCTTGGTTCGAGCACAACTTGCAGCACAACACCCCAGGTGGCAAGCTCAATCGCGGCTTGAGCGTCGTCGACACGGTCGACATTCTGCTGTGCACCGACCAGCAGGGCAACAAGGTCAAGCAGCT